CCACCGCCCGACCCCCCCGCCCCACGCTGCTTCTTGATTTTACTCTGATCTGATCTTCCGCCCATGAATGAGCAGTCCTCTGGACAGGAGATACACAGCAATTGGGAGAAAAGTGCTTCTCTCATTTCTGATGGAAGAGCACCTGTTAAATCTCTGAAGGAAAGCATTATCCAACCCAGTTGGGCAGCGGCAGCTACAGTGCACCAGCCTGCGGGAGGCAAGGCTCAGGCTGGGTCTTAGGTAAAAGGGCTCCTAGCAGTGAAAGGCCGGGGCCTCGTCATTGTCGCCTTCATGGGCTCATCCCCAGACTGTCCCTCTTGCTATTGGAGCAGGACACGTGCTCTGTCAACCCCAGGAGGCTTCTCGTGGCATGTCAGGCATCTGACGACATGTCGCATTCATCACAAGGGTTGTGTACTGCATATAGCAGGGTCACGCACGTATTCTGGGCCTGCCTGCCAGTGGGCTTGGCACAGGGACCATCACTGAACTATTGCATGGGATGTGATGGCGGTCAGAACAAACTGCAGGGGCTTGGTGTGAGAATACAATCCTACTCTTACCAGGTGACAATTTAAGGAGTTGGTTCTTATTTTTCAGGCAACTGGAAGAACTAAAGATGTATCTGTTCTTAATATTCTAGTCTTAGAAAGATGACTCTGTGTGAGTGTGAGTGACGGGCTGGGCAGGGAAGGGACTGCCACGGGAGGGCAATTAGCGACCTCTAAGAGGACCGGATGCCTGCACTGGCCCAGGATGGCAGTGGCGAGGATGCAGACAGCCCCATGCCTGTGACAGTGTGCTGGCGCAACCAGGAGGACACGGTCACGGATAAAATGAGGTAAGTAGGCAACAGGGTATGGTTAGAAATCACCTGAATGCTCCAAGTCAAGGAGAATGAGCAGAGGCAGTGGAGATTAGAGGGAGGGGCTGGCTAGAGGCTGGAGGAGGGGCTGGCAGGTGAAATGCAGAAGCTTTTGTTAAGACCAGAAAGTCAGCGGGAAGTCAGTGAGGGTTGGCAGCTGGAGGCACAGGTCTGGAAGGGCACTGCCAAGGGTCATCATGGCAGACTTGGGAATTACTGTGCTCACAGGAAGAGTGAGGAGGCATCTTTTAGGGAGGATGAAGATGGAAGAGAGTCGGAGTAGGGGGACGTAGAGGGCTAGCTGAAGCAAAGCTCCCAGCAGAAAGCATTGCTCAGCAAGGTCAGATGCAAAGGTGGACTGGTCAGGCCATTAGGGAGTGCAGTGTGTGTGTGTGTCTGTGTGTCTGTGTGTCTGTGTGTGTCTGTGTGTATGTTCATTCACATGTCTGTGTGTGCATGTGTACAGGTGTGTGTGCATGTGTGTGTATATTCACACATACCCATATGTGCTCAGTACACTGAACTGGAAATTTCAGAAAGCCTGTCCAGCCTCTCAATCCCCTCACCCCTTTCCCTTTGACATTCCTGTCCTTTCTCCAGCCTTCTTTTCTGTCTCAGTCATTTGCACTAATGCTTTACTGCTTCCCAAGTCACCAGCAAAGTGCTGGAGAGAATAAAGGCCAAGAGCAAGACTCCAGGTTTCAGTTTTGCTTTCCACATGCAGCTAGGCAGACAATCGGAGGTAGAGCAGCCATCCTCCACACCACTCTGCTCATGGTGAAGCAGGTACAGGCATACACTTGCCCCGGCGTCAAGGCTCTAAGGTGCCATCATATAGAATTATCACAGCGCCTGGCTCATGGCAAGTACTTAACAATACGTATAGACTAAGTGCAGCCCCTATCTACCCGTCTCTTTTTCTTAGTTTATTTCATTTTGTTTAAATCTTTCTTCACTATCCCTGCAAGTCAACCTTTCTTGTCCAGTTTAGACTCTGAGAAGAAATCTTAGAATCAGAAATCTAAGAAAGAGAAGTGGCATGATTCTATTTTTATTTTAAAAAGTGTGCAAGCCTATTTTGCCCTGCCCAGCTCATGGCATCAAAACTGGGGTCCTGAGCTCCCGTTAGAGGTAAAATAACCAAATTCTATAAGATTTATCCTAGACATATTTTTGATAGAATAGTGGGAAGAAGTTTAATAATTGGGTGTTCCGCAAAAATATTAGGAAATTTAGAGCAAATAGTACGTACTTCTGAAATAGCAGAGGAAGAAAGGTGATTTGTGCTTATTTACCTATTTAAATCCCAGAGTTTGAGTTGTTTTCAATAATATCAGATTTCATTAGAATGTAAGACTTTGGTGGGGTGGAAGGGTGATTCTTTAGTGCAGCATCCAACCTGAACAAATCTCCATGAATTTTATAGTTAATTCATAAAGCACCAAATAAGAAACTAAAAATGAAAAATGAATCCTTTGTCAGTGACTTATTTTTTAAAACTTATTTCCAGTCCAGCCCTATGTGGACTGCATGATCCCATCGTGAATTTGAGGCTGTCCATCCTGGGGAGAGGGTAGGAGGTGAAGGCTGGTGGGCTCAGTGGAGAGGCCCTGTGAATCAGCAGGGGACAACACAGTTGTTCTCTAACAGCAGAGGAATCCAGAAATAAAGCACTGTATTTTTCAGCTCCAAGAGGAAGCAGCTGCTTGGAAAACTTGTACAAGAAATTCAGTCGTCATTCAAACTGCCCGATATGTGTTAGCTCTGGTGGCAGCCTGGCCCTTTGGTGGGCAGCACCAAGGGCTCTGTTTCTTACTCAGGTCAAGATCTTTGTCCCCATGCTCAAATCCTATGCTCCGAGGTCTTATTGGGCGCCATGATCAAGTCATGGGTGGGAGTGACTTAGCTCCTTGACCCCAAGCCCATGAAGGGTGCTGGATTATGCTCCTGTGTGTGAGTAGCCATGAGGAGAGGGGAGACCAGCACTGGTGCAGAGACCCAGAGAACCGTAGAAGGTGAGTAGGTGTGTTTGTATGAATGACTCCCCCAGCTGTTTACAAAGCCCTTATGCTTGCTTTATGCCCCTCTCATCTCCCTCCCACCTCCTCCTCCAAAATGCAAAACAAGAAAACCTAAGAAAGTGCTCAATTCCTTGTCAATGAGTTTGTAGAGAGAAGTCAGACTTTCTAATGTGATAGGAGATATGGCAGGCTTGGACCAAATTGCAAGAAAATTGTCCATATGGAATGCCTTCACAAATGTAATGCCCCTTTACCATCCCCAAGACTCTGTAGTTGAGGCGGATATTCTCTCCCCTTCTTACAGATGCAGAAATTGAAGTTTGGAAAGATTAAATGGCATAGTCAATGGCATAGAATAGGAGGGAGAGCTAGACACATGTGCAGCTGCTCTGCCTCCTGGTCCTGACTCCCGCACGGCACGGTGTCTCCACAGAGGTAAGACGGGTGAAACCTATACAGGAAAGCACAAGCACGAATTGAAGAACTAATTTCTCCTCTCAGGTTCCACTCATTTTGACTTTCTTGATTCATGACAGGTGACAAGAAATGCTTCGGCATGAGAACTAACAACCAGAGCTTCCTGCGGGGAGCCCCTGCAGACTTCATCCTTCTAGGTGTTTCTGACAGGCCATGGCTGGAACTCCCTCTCTTTGCAGTACTCCTGGTGTCCTATGTCCTTGCCACACTGGGGAACATCGCCATCATCCTGCTGTCCCGACTGGACCCCCAGCTGCACGGCCCCATGTACATCTTCCTCAGTCACCTCTCCTTCCTGGAACTCTGCTACACCACCACCACTGTCCCTCAGATGCTGGTCAACATGAGCAGCTCCAGGAAGACCATCAGCTATGGTGGCTGCACAGTGCAATATGCAATTTTTCACTGGTTGGGTTGCACCGAGTGCATCATCCTGGCCGCCATGGCCCTGGACCGCTACGTGGCCATCTGCGAGCCACTGCGCTATGTCCTCATCATGCACCGCCCTCTCTGCCAGCAGCTCGTGGCTGTGGCCTGGCTCAGTGGCTTTGGCAACTCCCTAGTTCAGGTAGTCTTGACCGTGCAATTGCCTTTCTGTGGGCGGCAGGTGCTAAACAACTTCTTCTGTGAGGTGCCAGCTATGATCAAACTCTCATGTGCTGACACAGCTGTGAATGATGCCACACTGGCTGTGCTGGTGGCCTTCTTCATTCTGGTCCCCCTAGCTCTCATCCTTCTCTCCTATGGCTTCATTGTCCGTGCAGTACTCAGGATCCAGTCCTCCAAGGGACGGCACAAGGCCTTCGGGACCTGCTCTTCCCACCTGGTGGTGGTCTCCCTCTTCTACCTCCCTGCCATCTACATGTACCTGCAGCCCCCTTCCAGCTACTCCCAAGAGCAGGGCAAGTTTATCTCCCTCTTCTATTCCATAATCACCCCCACCCTCAATCCCTTCATCTACACCCTGAGGAATAAGGAAGTGAAGGGAGCGCTGAGAAGACTTCTGGCAAGGGTCTGGAGGCTCCGTGGGGGATGAAGACCTGCAATGTGCCAACCCCCACTGGTTACAGAGCACCAGACCCAGAGAACCTTTCATTTAAAGAGCCAATTAGCAAACAGTGGAAATGTTTTGAGAAATTTCAGGATCCCTCTAAATCCCCCATCCAAAATATCTCGCCCCTTGCATTGTCACAGCACCTAAAATCCCACTTCCTCCACAGTCTTTACTTCTCCCTGCCACACACATGAAATATTAAGCTCTCATCTAGAATCAAAGGAGAGATAAAGAACTTCCTAGACAAGAAAATGATAAAGAAGTTCATCACGACCAAGTCAGTACTACAGGAAATGTCGAAAGGTTTTCTTTAAGAAGAATAAGGAGAAGAAAAAAAAAACAATAAAAAATATGAATAAGAAAATTGCAATAACTGTATGTCTAGTGAAAACTAGTTAAAATGTAAATGGATTAAATGCTCCAATCAAAAGGCATAGGGTGTCTAAATAGATAAGAAAACAAGCCCCTTACATATGCTGCCTACAGAGACTCACTTCAGATAGAAAGGCACACACAGACTGAAAGTAAAGAAATAGAAGAAGATATTTCATGAAAATGGAAACAATAACAAAAAAAAGCTGAGGTGGTAATACTTATACCAGACAAAATAGACTTTAAAACAAAGGCTATAGCAAGAGATGAAGAGGGACCCAGTAATCTCACTTCTGGATATTCATCCAAAGAAACCCAAAACACTACTTTGAAGGAACATGTGAATTCATATGTTCGTTGCAGCATTATTTGTGTAGCCAAGATATGGAGGCATCTTGGGTGTCCATCAACACCCAAATGAATGGATAAAGACAGGTGGTACATATATACAATGAAATATTACTCAGCCATTAAAATAATGAAATCTCGCCATCTGCAGCAACATGGATGGACTTAGAGAGTATTGTGCTGAGTGGAGTAAGTCAGACAGAGAAAGAGAAATGTCAGAAGTGGAATCTAGAGAACAGGATAAACAAACAAACAACAGAAACAAGCTCATAGATACAGAGAGTATTTTGATGGTTGTCAGATTGGGGTGTTAGGGGATAGCAGAAGAGGGAGGGGATTAAGAGGCACAAATTGGTAGTTACAAAATAGTCACCTGGATGTAGAGTACAGCATGGGGAATATAGTCAGTAGTATTGTAATAACTATATGGTGTCAGATGGGTACTGGATTTATCGGAGTGATCACTTCATAAATTATATAAATGTCTAATCACTGTGTTGCACACCTGAAACTAATATAATATTGTATGCCAACTATAATTGAAAAAAAGCAAAAATGTCAAAATCAAATAAACAAACAAACAGATATTAACTTGTCCTGAGACGGAGGTGGAGAGGCAGAATGGTGATGTCAGGAGGGCTTGCTTGGTGGTACAGCCCCAGAAACACAGCCTCCTTGCCCTGTGGTGCATGTGCCTGAGCACTACTTGAGGGTTTGTTACCCATGAAAGTTCTGGTGAAGCATTAAATAAATATGATTGTGCAGACCGTCTGTTATGGGCCAGGCATTTTGTAAGGTGCAGCATATCCACTGGCTCATTTAATTCTCACAACAAACTGTGATGTCAGTCACTGTTGTTATCTCCATTTAAAGATTCTGAAGTGAAAGCTGTTCCCTTTAGAGGCTGTGCTCCAGGCCACTGGGCTACTGCTGAGGAGGTCCAGACTTTAGGCCGAGTACTTTTCTTCCTGTTGGCCCCATTCCTTCCCTGTCAGTTTCACTTTACACCACTCTGTAGCTGCATGGCCTCTTGTCCCTGCTGTGTGCCCTGCTGACCAGAGCCACTGGTATGCATAATGTTCCAGTGGCAATCTCTGTTCCCAGGCTCCTTCCAAAGTGTGCTGTCAGGACACTTAAGGAAAGTGTGACAATCTAGTTTCGAATAAAGAAAGTCAGTGTTCCTGCTTGCCAGCAGTGGGGATGCCTTATTTTTACCCTGTCTCTACCCCTAGCTTCCTGCCCACCTCAGAAATCTGTTAAATAAGCAGCAGACTCGAAATGTAGCTATAAGGTACCTCAGTCTGCCCCCAGCGGACCCAGTTCACTAGACACTCCCCTTCCTATGTTGAACCCTAAACCCCATACAAGTGAAGTCTGCCTTGAGAAAGGGAGGAAGGCCTTAAAGCTTACTTGAGTCCTATAATCCCAATTATTCACTATATATGCTTAATACTAAGATTTCGTGATTCTGTGTTTGGCCATTGGGTGTGTCTGTTTGCCCCATGCTCACTGGGATATTTGTATGTTCTTGACACCAAGATCAGCATTGCAGGGCATGCCTGCTGCCCACCCACACTTCTGCTGAGCACTTAGACAACACCAGGGCGCAGGGCTATCTTCTCCCTGCATCGTCACATGATCATCCCTCTGTACTGGTATGTAACTCAGTGTCCTTTTCTTAGAAGGACACCAGTAAGATTAGATTCCACCCTAGTGACCTCCTTTTATCTTAATTACCTTGCTAAAGACGCCATCTTCAAATGCAGTCACATTCTGCAGTCCTGGAGGTTTAGGGCTTCAACATAGAAACTGGGAGTGGGCATAGAATTCATCTGTAACACCGTAGAGAACACAGTGCAAGTGCAGTGCAAGCACATAGAGATTTGTAACACACCTCCATTACAATAAGGATATGAACATTAACGGTGATGACAACAAAGTCCACAGCTCACTTCTATGAAAATTCCTGTTAACATATCAATTGCAATTGTGCTGGGTTTTGGTCTACTGGGGGACGGTGGGAGCAAACAGGAGACTTGTATTGCCAGCTAGTGAAGCTTCCCGTCCACTAATGTGACACATCTCCACACATTTGGGTCTTTTTATGATTTTTGTATAATTTCTCACAGATTTATTTCAGGCACCTGATATATTTTATTACCACGATTAATATCATTTTTATTACATTTTAAATTGCAGGTGCTTAGAAGTGCTGTTAACTATTTTGATTTTTAATTAATTTTATTGGAGTGACATTGGTTAATAAAATTATATGTTTCCAGTGTATAATTCAATAAACGTCATATGTATATTGTGTGTTCGCCACCCAAGTTATGTCTCTTTCTGTCACTAAATATTTTACTCCCTTTATTCCTCTCTATTTCCCTCCCCCCCCCATCCCTTCCTTCTGGCAACCACTAAACTGTTGTACGTGTCCATAAGTCTGTTTGTTTGTCTTGTTTGTTGCTTTTAGTTTTATATCCCACATATGAGTGAAATCATATGGTTCTCAACCTTTTCTTTCTCACTTATTTCGCTTAGCGTGATATTCTCAAGATCTATCCATGTTGTCACAAATGTCAGTATTTCATCTTTTCTTATGCCTGAGGAATTTTCCATTGTATGTATGTAACACATCTTCTTTATCCAATCATCTATCAAAAGACACGAGTTGTTTCCATGTCTTGGCCACCGTGAATAATGCTGCTATGGACATTGGGGTGCATATATCTTTACGAATAAATGTTTTCAAATTTGGGGGGTAAATACCCAGAAGAAGGACTGCTGGGTCATATGGTAATTCTATTCTCAGTTTTTTGAGGAACCTCCATACTGTATTCCATAGTGGCTATACCAATTTGCAGTCTCACCAGCAGTGTATGAGGGTTGCTTTATTTCCACATCATCTCCAAAACTTGTTATTACTTGTCCTGTTGATTATAGCTATTCCAACAGGTGTGAGATGGTAGGTATCTCATTGTGGTTTTGATTTGCATTTCCCTAATAGCTAGCGAAGTTGAGCATCTTTTCATATGTCTGTTGGCCATTTGTATGTCTTCATGGGAGAAGTATCTGTTCAGATCCTCTGCCCATTTTTCAATTGGATTGTTCGGATTTTTGTTGTTGAGTTGTATGAGTTTTTTGTATATTTTGGATATTAGCCCCTTATCATAGGCACTGTTTGCAGATATCTTCTCTCATTTAGTTGGCTGTCTCTTTGTCTTGCTGAAGGTTACTTTTGCTGTGCAGAAGCTTTTAGTTTAATACAGGTCCATTCATTTACTTTTACTTGTACTTCCTTTGTCGTTGAGGCCAAATTCATAAAATTCTCTCTGAATCCAAGGTCAATGAATTTAATACTTAAGTTTTCTTCTATGCAATTTATTGTTTCAGGTCTTATATTCAGGTCTCTAATCCATTTTGAGTTAATTTTGGTATGTGGTGATAGACAACAGTCTACTTTCATTCTTTTGCAAGTGGATTTCCAGTTTTCCCAGCACCATTTATTAAAGAGACTTTCCTTTCTCCACTGTATGTCTTTGGCTCCTTTGTCAAAATTATTTGCCCCTACACATGGACTCTTTGTTCTGTTCCACTGGTCTGTGTGTCTTTCTGCCAATACCATACTGTTTTAATTATTGTCACTTAGTAGTATAATTTGAAGTCAGACAGAGTGATACTCCCACCTTTGTTCTTTTTTCTCAGGTTGGCTTTGGCAGTTTAGGGTCTTTTGTGATTCCATACAAATCTGATGACTTTTTGTTCTATTTCTTAAAAAATGCCTTTCAGATTTTGATGGAGATTGCATTAAATCTGTATATTGTTTTAGGTCATTTTAACTATGTTGATTCTTCCAATCCATGAACATGGAATATCTTTCCATTTCTTTGTCTTCTTCAATTTATTTTAATAATGTCATATAGTTTTTAGTGTATAGGTCCTTCACATACTTTGTTATGTTTATTCCTAGGTATTTCATTCTTTTTGTTACAATTGCAAAAGAATTGTCTCTTTCATTTCTTTTCCTGAAAATTAATTGTTAATGTATAGATGTGTTATAGATTTTTGTATGTTGATTTCTTTATCCTGAAACTTTATTTGTTTATTGTTTCTAATAGTTTTTTAGTGAAGTCTTTAGAGTTTCCTATATAGAGAATCATGTCATCAGCAAAAAGTGATAGTTTGACTCCTTCATTCCCAGTTTGGATGCCTTTCATTTCTTCCTCTTGCCTGATTGGTCTGGCTAGAACTTCCAACAGTATATTGAATAACAGTGGTGATAGCAGACAGCTGGTCTTGTTCCTGATCTTAGAGGGAAGATTGTTTGTTGGTTTTTCACCATTAAGTATGATGTTGGTTGAGGGTTTGCTGCATATGGCATTTATTATATTGAGGCCCTTTCCTTCTATATCCATTTTATTAAGTGTTTTAATCATAAGTGAATGCTGTATCATGTCAAATGCTTTTTCTGCATCTATTGATGATTTTTATCCTTTTTTGTCCATGTGGCATATCAAATTGACTGATTTGCACACGTTGCCACATGTACAGTAAAAATGCAAGGATAAGAACAGGTAAGAGCACTCTGTGCCCCTACTCCCCCTTCAGAGTCACCCAGCACCGACAGTGACTTTGACTTTGACATTTTCTCCCCCTTTTTAATAGAATTTCCTCTTATGGAGTTTGCCTGGTGCTTCCTGGTGATGAGATTCAGGGGTGCATATATGATGTTGGTTTCTTCTCAAGTTATCTTACTTGAAAGCAGATATCTATCTGCCCCCACTGATATTTTTATTAGATAGTAAGGATACTGTCCAATTTCTGCTCTTTATGTAGTTACCATTTTTCTTCTGCAACTGATGATCCAACTGTGGAGACTTTCAGACTAGACTAATATCCAGCTCTTCTTAAATTCCCTTCTAGGTTTTAGCAACCATTCCTCCTACCCCAACCCGATCTTTGCTGTGCTGGTTGAAATAAATGATTTCTTTTCCAACTGCATTCCACTGACATTTGTGTATTGATCTTATATACATCAACTTCACTCAATTTTTAGTTCTACTAGTGTGGAAATCTTCATTAATCTTTCCATATTAATATTTACATTTTGGGGTCTTTATCTATTTAGATATTCCTCTGGGTCACTGAGGGAGAAATTCTTACTCCCATTTTAAGTTCCTAGTGCCCAGGAGTTTTCTTTCTCTCTTTGCAGCACAGTTATATGTTTTTAATTACATTTTAACACCTGCATGTAAAGGTGTTTGTACCAAGGGGGCAGTCTGCAATCACTTCACCAAGATGCAAAAAGCAATATCTAGATCAGAGTTACTCAAAGTGCTGGTGGTAGACAAAAGAAAGAGTTTGCACAAGAATATAAATTACATACAGCTTTTTTACTGAGAAAATCTTACCATGGTGAAAGTCAGCTCATCTGAAAAGCATACCTAACATGTGATTGACTTACATTCTTCACAAGCTCCTTATGTCGGCAATCCCAAGGCCACACTTGAGCAGCAGGGGTCTAAATGGTTCATCTGACAGAGGAAGTAGTATTTGTACCCCGAATGCTTGCATGGAAGAGTTGCCCCACATGTAGAGAAGCACTTAATCAATATTCATTAATGATTAAATGATTAAATGCTATGTGAAGTGCAGGAACTGAAATGCTCCTAGGATGAGATAAATCAAAGATAATTTTTTATAACTGAAGGCAAAACGCATTTTCTGCATAATACTTCTGTTTGTATTATGCAGAAAATGCATTTTGCCTTCAGTTATAAAAAATGCATTTTGCCTTCAGTTATAGGCTCTTCTACTCCAAAACCTGCCTTTGCGTTATTTTCAAACTCCTGTCCCACCACAGTTGATATTTCAACCCTTAGGGTGAGGCGATTTTCCTCTCCATTCATTACAATTGAATCATTTGGCAAAGAAATTTTTTAAATGCATAAAGCAATTTAATTTATCTTTAGTGGTTTAGATAAATAAGTAAAACTATTTCTAGGCACACTTTTTAAAAACTAATGAAAGAAAACAATTTAACTCAATAAATACAGCTGAGCTTTTATATTCTCTGAATTTACAACAAGGTACAATAAACAGGAATTATTTTATTAGAAAATATAACTCTTACAAAAATTAGAAATAAATAAGTTGCTGCCACAAAATTGCAACATAATATATAGTTAACGCATTCTGTTACTGTCAGTTAAGAGACAGACCAGTGGGAGAAAACAGAGCAAAGAAGGAGAAAAGGTATGAAGGAAAAGAAATTTAGAGAGAGTAAAAAGAGAAAACAGAAAACGAGAAAGTGCTTCAATGAAGAGTTAGTTACATGAGGTCACCTAGAGGAACACATCCTCTAATGAGACCCGTGCTGCATGGGTGGCCTCGGTGCCCTGGCCCCCAGCCCATCTCCGAGGCGCCTCCTGCAAGCGAGCTCCCCCACGCACACCAGCCCGGGTGGTAGGCTCTCGGCGTCTGCACCGGGTGGTGGGGCCGCACAGCAGGGGGTTCTGGCACCGAGCTTCCATCACTGGCTGGGCACGCTCAAAGACGATGGTCAGCTCCGGCTTTTCTTCTTGAAGTGCTTCTAACGCGCAGATTGTATCATGATTAAAATACATTTTACACAACCTGTAAAAGCAAATAGAGGGCCTTGGATTACACTCAACCAACACGCAGAGCTGTCAGCCTTGGGAAGCTATCTCACTCACAACTTCTAAGCCCCCTGACTGCCTTCATCCAGAATGTAATTTCTGTTATGTTCTAACCAACGAGTTTGAAAAAATGTTTAAATATATGTAAATATAGAGAGAATGGTGTAATGAACTCCCAAATGTTCATTCTCAGGTTTGACCATTTCTTATTAAATTTATTGGGGTGACATTGTTTAATAAAATCTTATAGGTTTCAAGTGCACAATTCAATAATACGTCATATGTATATTGCATTGTGCATTCACCACTCAAAGTTAAATTTCCTTATGTCACCACATATTTGACCCCTTTACCCCTTTCTACTTCCCCCCTTTCCTTCCTTCTGATAACCACTAATCCACTGCCCATGTCCATGAGTCTCTATTTGTCATGTTCATTTGTTGCTTTCAGTTTTATATACCACATTGAGTGAAATCATATGGTTCTCAACTTTTCCATCTGATTTATTTTACTTAGCATGATTATCTCAAGATCCATCCATGTTGTCACAAATGGCAGTATTTCATCTCTTCTTATGGCTGAGTAACCCATTGTATGTATACACCATAGCTCATAGCCAGTCTTATGTCATCTGTCCCCCACACAAGCCTCACATCAATGGATTGTTTTAAACACAGCATGTCATACATCTATAAATATTTCACTGTATGAATCTAAATGAAGCCTTTTTAAAAGTGTTACCACAATGCCATTATTACAGCTGAAGAAATTAACAATTCCTCAATATCAACATATGTCCAATCAATGTTTCATTGGACGTTTAAATTTCTTCAACCATCTGATGTTTTTAATATTATGTTCATTTACTCAAGAGCCACATGAGGTCCACAGAGTGAGATTGCTTTGTGTGCCTCTCAAGTCTTCTTTGATATATGTTCCTCCTCTTTCTCTTTTTAAAAAATTTCCCTTCCAACTTAACTGAGAAATCACATTATTTGCCCTGAATAATTTCTAAGAAGTTTGACTTGATTGTATTATGGATTTAAAGTTTATCTTCCTCCAAAATTCCTATGTTGAAGGCCCAGCCTTTCCTGTGCTGGCATTTGGAGGCAAGGCCTTTGGGAAGTGGTTGGGCTGAGATAGGGTCATGGCAGGTGGGGAGCGGAGGGGGGTTCCTCATGATGGGACTGGTATTCTCATAGGAAAACCCCGAATGCACACTCTGTACACCTCTAGAGGCCATCTGAGGACATGGGCCAGCTCTTCTGCTAGCTCAGAAGAGAATTTCACCAGAAACCCAATTAGCTGGCACTGTGATCCCAGACTTTCCATCCTCCAGAACTGTGAGAAACAAATGTCTGTTGGGCAGGGTGCCCAGTCTGTGCTGTCATGTTGTAGCAGCCAAGCCAACAGGACATGGTGGCTGCTCCATGGACCCCCAGTCTGCTGTGAGCCTGTCCTTCATCTCCAGAGTGCTCTTCAAGGCTGCGTTGGTGACCCCTCATACAGCAGTGTCTCCAGCTTCATCCTGACCAATCCCTTCTTTCGTTCCTCTATTTCTCCTAGCTCTGGGAATTTGGGCTTTTCCTGCAGCAAATACGCTCCACTGTGTCTGCACAAGGATGCAATACTGATTCAAATTTTTATTTGTTCAAACCTCCATTCTAGTTGGTTCTTGGCCTTGACATGGACAAGGACAGAAGTCCCAGGGCTAACAGAATTTATATTCTTGGTGTAGGCTATAGATAATAAATAAGCAAGAAAATGACACAGCATGTATGATAGTGGCCAACAGTATAGAGGGAAATATGAAGAGAAGAGGAAAGAGCACGCTTTTCAGTGGAACGGTAAGACACTCACACAGAAGATCTTAACACAGATAATTTAAACATATGCAGGAACAAAACATGCAGATATTAAAGGGGAGAGAATTTCAGGCAGAGCAAACAGCAAGTGCAAAGTTCCAGAGATGACAGTGTTTTTTGTGAAACTAGGAGACCAGTATGAGTGGAACAAAGGAGCAAAGGTTAGTAGAAGATGGATTTGCAGAAGCAGCAGAAATTATCACATGGGATTTTGACTCTGCCATGAGCATTATAGCTCCGACTCTGAAAGTGATGGGAAGTCACAGGAGCATGCTGGCTCATGTTTTAGCTGCACCCTCCTATCTGCTATGGCAAGAAAAGTAGATGCAGAGTAGTCTGGCAGAATGCCACCAAAACAAACCAGACAAGAGATGACGGTGGCTTAAAACAAGAGAAAAGCCATGAGGCTGGCAAGAAGTGGTTGGTGAGTGGGCCTGCTGTGAAAGCAGAACAAGCAGGGCATGCAGTGTATTAGCTGTATGCAGAAGGGAGGGGAGGCACCAGGGTGAGACAAGGGTTTTTTGGCCTGAGCAAATCAGATAGTCACCACTGATTGAGATGCGGAAGAAGCAGGTTTTGAACAGAGTGGGGACAGCATAGGTTTGGACTTGGACTTGTAAAGTTTGAGGCTTGTGAGACATCTATGAGGAGAGGTAGAGAAGCATTTGGACGTGGGGTTCACAGGGATATGAGTTGAGGGGCATGATATATACTTGGTAAGGCTGGAAGGCAGACAATATAAACAGGGGGGAGAGTGTAGAGAGTCCCAGGGACTTGACATGTAAAACTGGACAATGAAAAGCTGAAAGGAGACCAAGCAGAAACAGCTGATTAAGTAGGAGAAACTCTGGAGAAGAGCACGTTGCGAAATGTGGCCCCTGGGCAGGCTGAAGCCATGAGACATGGGATACCTCAGTAGCATCACCGATGGCAGAAGGGGGCCAGTAGTCCCAACACGCTGCACTGGCTGACTAATTAATTTCTTATCCTGGGGTTTCTGGAGCACTACCTTTCCATTTAGAAATCCTCAAATAGAAGACCAACGACCCCCCTCCCCCAATGCCAAGACCTTTGTGATCAGAATGAACCTGGTCTAATTCTACAAACTAGAAGCCCTCACACAGAAATAGAATTCCACTTGGCTACTGTCATTGGAACTAATGTTTATTTTAGGAATATGCATGAAAAATCTTTTCACACCCAGCTGAAACTTAAATATTCTACATGTCTGGATGAAGTGAATGTGTAGCTTATGATTCATCCACCATACTAAAAATATCTGCAACACCTAACCCAGGTCCACTCTCACCCTGAGTGCAAAGACCCATCTTGGATTTTGGTCACTGGCCTTCTTTTCCCTAGAATTATGAGCCCCACCACCCACACCTCTGCAGAGCACACTTACTGCAGGCTTCTTAGGAGGCAGCCCTGCTGCTTCAGCACCTCGCAGAAGAGCATGACTCCCAGGTCACCCAGGTCGTTGCTGTCCAGATTCAGTTGCCGCAGGCTCTGGCTGGAGGTCAGAAGCCTGGACAGGTCCCAGCAGCAGTGTGAGGTGAGACTGCAGTTGTCTAGTCTGCAAGAAGGAGGGTGATTTAAAGAAAATGCTCCCTCCCACCCCCCAGGTCTCCCAGATTTTAGCCTGTAACACTTCAACTGCAGAAAAGCATAGGAGTGACAGGATCAAGGAGCATGGGACCACTGTATGTGCCCATGGTGCAGATGAGAGTGATTTTGTGCAGTCTACTGGGTTATGCAGATGAAACTAGTAATAGCAGTTTGTGAACTGTTTTTTTTTTTTTTCCGAATTCTATATCTCCCTCTAAATTTCTTTAGAACACAAGAGCCATACCACCCTCATTTGCGCAGGAGAGAGATTTTTGGTCATAGAACCTCCTATATTCACCTTCACACCATCTAGAAGTAGACTCCTCCCAGCTCCATGACCCTAAAACAAGCCAAACCCTTGGAGGACACCATCACTTCTTTGATACAGATTATCTCATCATCACTTCCCCAGTCCTCCCCCCACCCCTGGCCACCATGTATTCTCATCATCATGATAAGTGAGGGGACTTACTCCAACATCTGAAGCTTGCAGTTGGGGTGCAAGAGTCCCTTACAGAGCAGCTTGACCCCCATGTCTCCCAGAGCATTGCCGCGTAGGTAAAGGTGCGTGAGATTCTGGTTAGCACTGAGCACTGAGGACAGAGCTGAACAACAATCTGACGTGAGGCCAGAACTCACCAACCTGTAGAAGGAACAGAGCAAAGAGTCCTCAGTGTCCAGCCTTCCTCAGACACAGCACAGCTATCTAACTGCAGGGACCTCATCTTACCTGAAAGCTGCACCCTTCAACTCAAAAGTCAGGAGCCAGCAACCTAAGGAGATCATAATTCCCTGTCTCTGGTCTCAAGAGAGAGACAAACGATGGCCTCAGCAGATGCTATGCTGGGATCAGGATAGATCCCAGCATAGGCAGAATAGAATCAAGACTCCCTCCATGGCCCTCCTCCTTCTACACGTGTTCTCTCTGGCCATGCACACCCCTCACAACCACTTCTTCCAGAAAGACACCCAGGTTATTCCTGACCAATAACTCTCACAACATTGCAGGAACCTACCTTATTTGATCCTTATACCACCAAGCAAGGGGTAGTGCAAACTGTAACCATGACATACCTTTTACAGATTAGAAATCTGAGGTACACCAAATTATGTGTTTTTCTTAAGGCCAAAGAAAAAGCATGTGGTGCAGCAGGGACCCAGACTTAAGCCTCTATCACCCCCTCTGCTGCCCCTTCTGTCCACGTCATTCTTCCTTCTGCACTTCCTTTTGACTCTTGCACCCCAACTGTAAGTCACCTCTCAGAGCATAGAGCCCCAGCTATGCATTACACTCAGTGTAGTTAAGATTTTTGGATATACTATTCTTGGGCCAAGTTGAGCATATTTTCTTACCCAACAAGAGCATGAGAGCTCCAAAATAGAGAGCTGAGTCACCCCCACATAGAACTTCAGAGGATAATTCACAGACTACAGAAAGGCAAACATGCTAGGCCTTCAATGGGCCTTGACTTAAGAGCATCTCATGCAATTACATTTCTTCCTGCCAGAATCCTTAGCAAGCACATGTTTTTAAGCTCTAAAATGTCCTCGAATCAAGAAAGATAGAAACACAGAAAGAAGTCCTTCCGACAATGTGGTATGAACATAAGATCTAAAGTAAGCGGGAGTACGTACTCACCCATTCGTCTCCATCTTCCCAGTCAAGCATGAATCAGAATGAAAAGCATAGAGTAAGCAAGACCAAGAGGGATGTGAAGCTCAAGAGGGACGAGCAAAAACTAAAACAAGTTCTGAGTGGCTCTTAGGAAGTTTTTGTTTCCAGCTACAAAGAATCTTATCAGAGGGGTCCTTACTGAACATGCAAGAGGGATTTTCAGGATTACTGGCTGTTATGAACCTAATGTTTGTGTCCCCTCCCCGATCAAATTCATTTGTTAAAATCTTAACCCTCAAAGTGATGGTATTAGGAGGTGGAACATTTGGAAGTTCTTAATAAGGTCTTGAGGGTGGAGCCCTTATCATGGAATTAGTGCCCTTATAACAGAGACCCCAGAGAGCCCTCCTCACTCCATTGCCATTGGAGGACACAGCAAAAAGGCAACTGCCTGAAAACCAGGAAGACAGTCCTCACCAAGAACTAGATCTTCTATAAAAAACTTGATCTTGGACTTCCAGCCTCCAGAACTGTGAGAAATAAATGTCTGTTCTTTAAGCCACCCAGTCAATGGTATTTTTTATTATAGCACCTCAAACAGACTGAGACACTGGCAAAGATGAAGAACATTCCAGAAGACTGGAGACAGACATCCAAAAGGAAAAAAAAAAGAATATTTTGAAAGTTACAGAATGGCAAGCATCACCCCTCTTTCCAGAAAAGAACTAGAGAGGATGATGAGACAGACATTCGAGGAGCACAGTGAAGTAGCAGCAGTTACAAGCAGAAAGAGAGGTTGTTAAGAATAAGTCACACCTGAATCATCAAAATTTTGGTAACCACTGATAGGTACATGGAGCATGTAATGAAAAGATTAACAAACTAAGAGTAGCTTTTTTGAAAAGATAAACAAAACTGACAAATGTTTAGCCAGACAAATCAATTAAAAGAGAGAGAGAGAGAGAGACAAGACCCTAATCAATAAAACTATAAATGAAAGAGAAACATCACAATTGATACCAGAGAAATATGAAGGATTTTAAGAGGCTACTATGAACAACTACAACCAAAAAACTGGACATCCAAGAAGAAATAGAAAAATTCTTAGAAACATACAATCTACCAGGACTGACTCAACAATAAATAAAAAATCTGATCAGACTAATTTACTAGTAAAAAAAAATTGAATCATCAGTCACACAAAGATAAATACCATACAATTTCACTTAAATGCAGAATCTAAGGAACAAAAAGAACAAACTAATCAAAAACAGACTCACAAATACAGAGAACAATCTGGGGACAGCCAGAGGGGAGGGGAGTTGGGAGCTGGGAAAAAGGGGTGAAGGGTTAAAGAAGTACAAGTTAGTAGTTGATAGATTGTCATGGGGATGGGGAGCGTAGCATAAAGAATGCAGTTAGCTTTAATGTAATGGCTAGGTGGAGAGCCAGAGGAGAGAAAGAGCAATTAGAGGGATCGTTTTATAAATTATACAAATGTCTAACCAATGTACTTTATACTTGAAACTAATAAAATAATTATTTTTAAAATTTGAAGCAATAATCAAAAAACTCACAACAAAGAAAACCCAAAACAAGATGGTTTTAATGATAAATTTTATCAAACTTTTAAAAAGAAATTAATGCAAGTCCTTCTCGAACTCTACCAAAAAAAATCAAAAAAGAAGGAACACTCCCAAACTTATTTTATGAAGCCAGCATTACCCTGGTATCAAACCCAGACAAAAACATTAAAATAA